AGGCTTTTCTGTCAATTACATCTAACCTATCTGATATTGAATAAAGTCCACTCCCTTAAACTAGTGGCTGCATTGTAAACTGATTGATGCAAATCAATCAGCATTAAGAACTCTTAACAATACGATATTAAATTGTTACAAGGTCGGAAATTTTTGTAAATATTATAGTCTTGAAAATGTCAATTACAGCCTGATTACTTCTGTGGTAACGTCGTCAATTGCGTCACTTGACGATAATGTCAGGTCCAATTAACGGGGTACATCAGTTACTTCAGGATTACAGATACCTCTTCCTGATAGGTTATAACTTACACAGAGCGTAGCCCTATACCTTCCTCCCGGCTTTCTTTAACCACGTAGCATCAAAAATATGGTAACCAATTTTACATGGGTAGAATTGTTTATTACATATCAACTCATACGTGTGACGCTTAAATTTTGATAATTTACAGTAATATATAACGGTGTCACATGGTTTTTATAAATTAGTGAATGAATTATTTTTGCATGAGAATACATGTAGCTACTTAAATATGCGATTTATGTTTGAATGATTGTAATTATGATTGCATTCGGTATATTTCATGCCTTAATTCAAAGTTATTTTTGTGTTCTTAAAAATGCATTTTTAAATAGTTTCTCTCTTTTTGGAAAACATTCAATTAGATTAATTTGATGTGATTCTTAAATTGGTTGTTTTTACTAAGTAACATTTCAATATGATATGTGTTTACCTTCAGTTTAAGATGAGTTGTGTCGAGCGTATGGATTTATGTGTATAGATGCATCATGATGTATGTATATAGAAAAAATGCCATTTTTCACCTTGGATTGCATTATTCTGAATTTCGACTGTCAGTGGGATTCAAGATGCGCCTTTCGTCCTGTTCGGGACTCATCGGCTTGACGTACGTACATCCTAGTTTGTTGTTTTTGACTGTAAGACTCAAACAGTTCACCTACCACTTTAATAGGCAACTGAGTGTCCAGATACTCACTAATTTATTCATTTATGCATATATACCAATGGAGACTGCTTAAGATATCCAGTCATGAATATTAAGAAACGAGAAATCACTAATTTTTATAAACAACATATACACTATGTTTTTTTTTGTTTAAACGTTAGAAATCAACCTAATCATATTGGAGATACGTTTTTTTAAAATGAAGAAGATGTAGAAAAAGGGATGTAATAACAGAAAAAGACAAATGTTGAATGATCAATTTTGGTGGAGTTTTGTTCTCTGAGCTGGATGGTTTGGTTGTGGAGCTTTCATCGTTCTTCTGAACGAGATCATCAGCTCAAACGTCAGGTAGAAATGAGGTGTTCGAATTTCTCCACATGTCGTTCACAGCTTGTCTTGTAGATCTCGATGTTGATTGGTTCTTGTTGACTTTAAACCTTCAATGATTATCCTTCGGTCAACAGATTTCAAATGTGTTGGTTAACCTCATTATGTTGTAATCAGTTTTAAATTTATGTTCAACGGATTATAATGTCGTGAAAGTTTTATCCAGTGATGATGATGTGTTCTATTTCGATTCTATTTATAAAAAAATCATTTATACTGGATTGATTTGCGTTGGATTTCTTTTACAGGTTAACTATAAGGTGTTAAATATTGATAATTCTAAAGGAAACATTGGTTTTCTCAAACTCTTAGATGGCAATAAGAAACAAAAGTTTAATAGGGTACTAAGAAACTTTCTGATTTGAAATTAAACTCAGATTATTACAAGCAAAGATAGATAGTGGCTAGCAGTGGAATTCAATTTGACGCACGTTTCATCCTGTCTGGGACTGGTCAGCTGGATGTACTTGCATCTCAGAGTTGATGTTCACTCTTGGACTTGAACACTAGTTTCTTTCATGTATGTTTTCTTATATACATATATCATGTACAGATGGCAGATGAATTCTAGTAGTAATGACCAAAAATTTTATTGACCAGTCAATTAAGTCTTCTGTCAGCTCACAGAAGGAAGAAAAAACGGGCTGTATTAGACGGACGTTTTTAATGGAGATATTGTTAACTGATACAGAACATGAGTTTTGTTTGTATCATATCTGAAGACTTATGTGTTTCCCATAAATGTCATTGATTGTTTTAAATAATCTCAAGGCTTATGATATTTTGTTCAACCAATCAACACTTAAGAATACTTAATTCGTTTATGGAATTACTCTGACTAAATTATAAATTAGTAAGTTCATTAAATTTCTATCTGTTTGTTATAATTTTGAGAGAAATATTTCGACCCAATCTAATATTAGCTGTAACATTAGAAAGCGCTAAATAGTTGTTTTCTTGTGTGTAACTTATTATCTATTCTAATTTGGCGTGGCATCTTGAACACAAATGTATGTGACAAGTTCTACGTCGCATATAACTGACTGGCTAGAACTCCTCAGCAGTACTTATCAACTATCTTCAGGTATTGTATCACAGCTCTGCATCAGAAGTTCCTGGTTCATATTTTTGTCTTCAACTGATTTGTGCTAGTATGATTTTCATCCATTTTTATTTATATATTGCCTACAATTCTGGTTAACTTGGTGACAATGTGTTTTCAGCACTTTTTAAGAGGTTACATAACTTAAGGAGATAGGAGATTCTGAACCTAGACTTTGTGCTAGATAACTGTCTTTACCAACACTCATTCATAATCTCAAAGGAAATTATGCTACCTATTGGGGTTCCGATCGATTTAACATCCTGATAATGTGCTACTGAATTATTTAAGTCGCAAATTTTATTAATTAATTTCAAAGTTAAACAATAGTTTTGCGTCGATTTATTTTATATTATTTCTAAGCAAAAGCACAAAAAATGTGACTCATGATTGAGTAAACAATGTGTATTTAGTCACTGAGCTATTTTATAGAATAAACACAACTTGTAAAGGCTGGGTTTTTTTTGCATTTCATCTTTTTTTCCAACTCTATTGTCTGTTTGTAAGTATGTGTGCGTCCGTGTCTACGAAATGAACTTACTTCATAGAGATACAAACTGTCATATAAGTTTGCAATTTATCAACATGTCGCTTACTGTGTACTTTTCATAATTGTCAGTATTACCTCAACCTCTATTAATATTTACTTTTTTAATATTAATCCTAATCTTTATGGTATATTATTCTTGTGAATTTTGGTAGCTCATCGGAATCTACAGGAGTTGAAACTTTTTGTATACACTGTAAATCACGAATGATAAACTGTTAATGCAGATTTGTTTGTTAAAACGTTATGTATTCTTTGATAATTTTGATTAATATCCTGAGGAAGTCCAGATAAGGTTGCTTGATGAAATGTTGGAATTATTTAAATATAATTATATATGTAATGTTTTTTATACCTTCAATGCACTGTTTCTGTCAAACTACTAACGAATATGCACATAAAGTAATTTTAATAGTTGAATTCATGAGTCAATGAAAGCTAGACCATCATGGAAAACCTGGAAGCACTGGATGACCGTTTTGTCGTAGTATGGGTTTCCTCAGCATTGTGCATCCACGATCCCACACTGGGGATTATAACCTAGGACCTATCGGTCTCGTGCGCGAACACTTAACCCCTAGACCACTGAGCCTACATTCGACGATGTTAATGTCTGACATCAACCAATCTACGAAATTCTATGGTGGTCTAGCTTTCATTGACTCATGAATTCAACTATTAAATTACTATATTATCCACAAAACCCCTTTTTGATTATAAAGTAACTTTGCCAAGAATAAATCGATTTTGCATAATCAATAAGTGTACTGAAGTCTTGTACATGTTTTGATATTGGTAAATTGAAGAAATAACAATATATAAATTTGTCCATATGAAGAAGTGCTTGGTGTGTTTAATACTGCTATTAGAAAATAAGTTTTCATTTTCTGCCTTTCGCTTTACGTGTTATAAAATAAAATTCATTCACTTTTCAATTTAACGCCAAAACATAAATGACGTTTACTCAATTTTAGTAGGAGTGGTTCATCAATTATACTTTCACCTTATTGTTGTCGTGTTTCACTCATAAAATAAAGCAAATTGAACCATTATAGTGCCTTGATTTAGGACTAGATTTGGTGTGAAATAATCTGGATCTGATGTTACTGATGTTAACATTTTGTGTAACACAATTCAGTTATTTTATAAGCGAAGATGGATGGTGGCTAGCGGTGGAATCCAGGACTGCGTTTCGTCCAATTTGGGACTCGTCAGCTGGATGTACTTGCATCTCAGAGTTGATGATCACTTTGGGACTCGAACCCAGTACCGTTCGCTTCAAACGCCATCACGTTATCTACTTAGCTACTGAGTCCTGATAGCCACTTGTCTGTGCAATGGGGTGAAGTTATATTCACTTGGTATTGTTTACTTGAATCGTCCCATTGATGTTTAGGACTGCAATTGATCAGTCTCATGTTGGCATTTGTGCATCCTGTCCGGACTGCCTCGATATTGTCTGAAGTCACAAGCTTTATAAGCAAAGGTGGATAGTGGCTAGCAGTGGGATCTAGGACGCGCGTTTCATCCTATTTAGGAAGATACAAGTAAACAACACCAAGTGAGTATAAAATTAGTCCTTTTAATAAATTTCAGTAATGCAATGAGAAGACGAAGGTTATCACATTTATGTGATGTATTTGTGTAATACATTTCGAACAATTCGATCACACATATACTTGCTAAGACATTTTTATACAAAACATAAAAGGTGTACTTTATTATTCTTTGTTTCAGCTTACCTTTTAATTTGTCTAGCTGACCTTTCATATGAAAATGTCTTAAGTATATGTGTGTGTTCAGATTGTTCGAAATGTATTGTGCAAATGTATTACAATTCAGTTAGTTAGTTGCTCAAAACGACGTTTTCATAAAGTGTTAATTTGTGTAATGTTATGTAATTCGAATTCTATTCATTACTAACTAGTGTAAAATGCACTAAATAATTCATAACTCTGTTATTTCTTTTTTTTTGTCTTTATTAACCATCCCACAGCTTTATTCTACAGCGCTGGTGGATTAGGTCCTGCTTGTGGATTTCTTGCTGGTGCTGGTTTCTTAAGTATTTACATTGATTCACCATTTATGTTGCCTGAAACTGGCTTAGACCGTAATAGTCCATTATGGCTTGGTGCTTGGTGGCTTGGTATGCTTGTCTGCGCTGCATTAACTTTCTTTGTAGCATTACCTGTGATATGTTTTCCTAAACAACTTGCAGTTATTAAAAAAAGTGATAGCAATACAATTCCAAACGATGAAACCGAAGATCTGGATAAAGTAGGTTTTGTCCATCCTTTTAATTTATAATTATTCGGTTTTGGGGGAAACTGTTCCATATCGATGACCTTCGGAGAACCAGTAAGGTTTAAGATAGAGCTTATTAGATTCTCCGGAAAATTTTGAAGCGCAGTAAAGAATAGTATGGATCTTAATTTTAAAAAAATAAGTAGAAATTATCTTTCTTTAGTTTCTACAATTCTTAAAACTGTTAGAAGTATCTTTTGCGCAACTACTCAGTGAATGTGGTACAATTTATAATAAATAAATAAATAAATACAATTTATAAACTAAGTTATAAGAAGTACCTCCTCCTAATGCAGATGATATCTGAGCGTACTTGATGTGATTCATAAAACTCAGTCATGGGTATTTTGGTAGTTGAGATGTTTTTTCTTACTGTGACCACATATCCTAATTACAGCCTATAACCCTAACTCTTAATATTCCTAAATTTCGCTTCACAACTGGTTTATATCGACTCCTAAACTAATGACAGCAAGTGAAGCAGTAGGTTGGGTCGGTTGATAACTTTACTTTTCTTGGAAGTGTATCGTCAACCCAGGTGCATTGGTGTCTGATTAAGTCTTGTCACGGATTCAGCGGGCTCATTTGGCATTTACCAACTTGTGCCACCCTACTGAGTAGGGAATATTAGTATGTTATTATTATTTGCTCTTATATTTGTCTTCGATGCATTGCTCGTTAATGCTGGGACAGCCATGTGGAAAATGTTGAGGTTAGGTGCCCAAAACATAAGCGCACTATGGCAGATCAGATGATGAGGTAGTGAATCTTCACCAACTGAAAAGGTTCGGACATGTTTGACCAACCACTGGATTCCTCGAGACTTGATGTTTACTAGTGTAGAAATTAGGATGTAACCAAACAAAAACGTAGTTTTGGTTCCCAAAGTCATTGATTGTTGAACTGACCCATGATGTAGTAAGATGTCGATTACGTGGTTGGTGTCCACATAATTATCTCAACGAGTGGTTAGATACGTTGTGTGACATCCTTCGGGGTCTTAGCTAGGATAAAGAAATCATATAATACATTGTTTAATTATAGAATTTGAATCTTATCTCCATCCACTCTGTTTATATCACATATAGTTTTATTCCGACAAAAGTAATTTAAATGGTTTAGTATCATAACTATGTATTTGATGGTTTATATTTTACCTACACGTCGACGTTTTTTTAGTAAAAAAAGGCATTTTCAATTTGCACTTTTACTTTTATCTTTTAATAAGGTACATATATACATACATTCACTCCTTTTCACACTGTTTACCTAATCACATTTTATAATAGACTCATATTATCCTACTTACTAAAGTCAATATCTAATTGTTATTAAATAAGTAGTTAGTGTAGATGTGATTGTTAAACATTATATATTTCTTTGATAATTTTCATTTTGATTATTACCTTGTAGAAGTTTAAACAAGAATACTGAACGAAATATTGGAATTATTATAAATTTCAATCACTGAGATTATTTTAAATATCATTCTGATAAATAATATATTAGTATCAGAAGGGGTTTTTAGTGGAGATTGTAGTAATTTCAACAGTTGAGATTATGAGTCAATTGAAGCTAGACCACCATGAAAAACCTGGAAGCACTGGATGGCCGTCTCGTCCTATTGTGAAACTCCTCAGCAGTGCGCATCCAAGACCCTGCTTCGCGGGATTCGAGCCCAAGGTCTATCAGTCTCGCGCTAGGGGCTTAACCAACTAGACCACTGGTGGTCTAGCTTCAATTGACCCATGATCTCAACTGTTGAAACTAATATAATAATTGAGATCATAAACTGATCAATGTCAGAGCATCATGGAAAACCTGGAAGCATTAGACAGCGATTTTAGCCTAGTATTGGATTCCCCAGCAGTGCGCACACCCGGGAATTGAACTCTGGACCTTCAGACTGACACGCGATCACCTAACCTGTAGACCACTGGGCCGGGATATGATGATGTTAATATCTAACTTTAACCAATCCACGGTATTTTGTGATCTCAATCAAAACTGAATAATCTCTACAACCCTGTAATATATTGAAAAATATCTTCTGGTATTATTCTGTCATTATCTCTGATTGAACGATGTTACTATTGTTTTAATAAGAGTTGGATTTATGTATGATCTTTGGTATAGAATTGTTATGTGTATAGCTTTTGATGGTAAATTTTATTTAACTCCTTCACCTATGTGAAGAACAATCATAGGATTCTACGAGTCACTTATGATCCATTTATTATAGTGTTTGCCATTCATGATGTATGTATACGTGGCATAGTACAGTAAATTCATCGTTATTACTCGATCCAGAATTTCACGACATCATTTTTTGATCTTAAATTTGCCTATTAGACAGTTTTAGCTGAAGTTTTATGTAAGTTTATAATTAATACTAACTGTTAATCCATTATCATCACTTGTATGATAAGTTTTCAAGTCAATTGGGGTCATTACATTATGTAACCTTAGATTAAGTTAGAGTTTACTGGGTTTTTTTCTAAATAGTTTATTCACATTTGATCAGTGACGTAGTTATCTGATGCATATGATGTTCTGTTTGAGCGTTATGTATGACTTCCCGATCATTTATACTGATGCTCGACTTTTTTAGATCCTGAAACTGAACGAATATTTATTCAATAGCTTAGTTCCGTCTGTGTATCTTTTTGTTCTAACCAATTTTTCCTCAAGTATTCTCAGTAACTGCCATAAATACTGACATGTTTACGATGAAATTCACACAACTGAACATATAATTTGACGGTAATACCATTAATTTTACTGTTGTTTACTATGAATAGGTTAATCTTGTGTTCAATTTCGTTTTTTTTCTATGTATAATAGATCTGTTCCCCTACAATTCAATCTAATAATCATAATATTTCCAATCTTAATACAAATAACAATAAAGTGAATTTATCTTACGTAAAATCGTCCGATAATTTGCCTAATATAAACAAACAATCTGGACAACCATCGCTAACCACAACCACAACAGCCGTTTCAGCTGCTGCTGTCGCAGGCGTTGAAACATTAACATCAAATCATTTGCTCAATACACTATCACCGGATAGTCGCAATGTTCAGTATCCAAGTCTAGAAGAATTTAAACAACAGCAACGATTGCCTGAAATGAAACGAAATCATGCTGATTCACTTAAGACATCTCCTTATTCTCCCACTACCATTACTCCTAATTCTCTTTATGCACATTCTCCATCTATCAAGGATGCTGTAATTAGTGGTGATGGGACAATTGTTAGCCCTTCAAATCAACACTTTCGTTCACATTCAAATATTGGCGGTGGTCATCTTGATTCTCTTGACGGTAATACTGTCGAAGTTGTTAATAATGGTATAGCTGGTTGTGGAGATCAATCTGACAATTTTGGGAAATTCATGAAAACATCCTTGAATAATTCATTTAGTGAAAACCAAGCTAATCTTAGGTCAAAAATAAAAGGTAATAATTAAATTTTTTGTTTGTGATCATACGTAATAGTGTTTGTGTTTATTTGTTTCGTTTATCTTCTAGATTTTGATTTTTTGAGTATTTTGGGGTTCATTAATGTAGATTTAGACTCTGATCAACATATTAAGCCTACTGACGCGGTCCAACTAATGATGTGGAGTTAAATGAAGTTGTGTAACTGATCAACTTACACACTCTTACATTGAAGTTCCATTATTCAATAACTCTCCAGTTTGTCCTATCCTAACCTGGTGACTGGCTTATCTTAGCACATTTGAATAACGATTAAAATCCTATCGGACTTATATTTTAGTGCAATGAGAATAAATTGGTGACATAAACAAGAAGTAACCGTAATAATTAACTTCACACCATCAATTGACTAATCAACTTGTTTATCATCAAACTTCCGTAAACAATACAATGTTCACAGGTCAGGTTTCTGAGATTAACATCACAGATAAATTCCCTTGAGATTCATTGTTTGTTTTTTTCTTTTGTGAAAACTTTTGATTGTAATATAAAGTTGGATTGTATAAGAACGGGGATGACTAACTAAGTGGAATGAAATGTTTTCTGTTAATTTATTTTCGATATGACCTCTTCATAATAAAATCATTTCTTAAGTATTATTCAAAGAAAAAAAAATTGTACTTTTTCTCATTGAATTCTCTATATCAACTAATTTCATAGTCAACTTTTCACTATTATCCCTAATTAGTTTAGGGAGTATTTTAACTTTACGAGTTGATATATTGATGTTTCCTATCTTGATAACACATGGGGACTTTAATTGATTGTTCAGCTTGATGATATATTTACTGACTGATTCCTTTTTTAGTTGGAATTAGAGACTTCACTAGTCTTTCTCTCGTTTTTTTCTTCTGTTCAAAGCACATTATTTTTTCAATAAGTGATCTATGATTAGTAAATTTGAATAATGATGACTAGCAATTGAATACAGGTTGTGCGTTTCTTCCTTTTCGCCACTTATCAGCTAAGCATATCTTCGTCATAGTGGTAATGTTCATATTGAGACTTCTTTTGATCAAATGACAACTTTGAGACAATTCGATCAGGATGCATTAAACGTGATTGGTTAATTTCACTTTTTTTTAATATTAACAAAGAGTAGTTTAAAAACTTTATAAATAAGAGTTCTATTATGTTCAAACATATATACGATACTAATCGAATTCTAGTATAAATTAAACGTTCATGAATATATATATTTACTAAGGGGAAATGCGAAGGCATAAGTGGTAATAATATATACGAGAAAACACTTCATTTCTTTAATACATGTAAACCTGTTTGGAAATAATGTAGTCAGATAGACAGGATAGATAGATATACACAGGCTGATAAACGTAGGTGTTCATTAGCTCGGCACGTGCAACTTTAAACGCGTTCTCAACATTTTTATCGGTGAATAAACTTTACTTGAATTAAAAAAAACCTAGTTTTTTCTAAATTTTCAACCCTTTCTAATGGATAAATTACATAGAGAAGAGGGATTGACTAGACTGAACGAAATACAATCAACACGCCTAAGGTCTTAGGAAGCTTGAGGCTAGATCGTTGATAGTAGTACAATTATTTCCAATAGGATATAAATTCGAGTTCGAAGTAGTCAAAGTTTTCCATTGCAGACAAAACCTAATGGTCAAAGACCTCACGTTTAGAGCAAATCAATTGCAATTCGCTGTTAGTTCGGACCTGTTGAAGTTATCAGTACTCACTTTTTAGAAGTTCCATATTAGGACGAAACAGTTGTTTAGTTATCATTAGTTATCAATAACCATTTCATGATGTAAACTATGATATAGTACTTACACCAGATCTCATGTTACTATAATTTAAATAGATTTCTCTGCATAAGACTCACATCTGCACTAAGTATTAGAACAAATCGGATTCATTCTTTTTTCAAATGTTTTCATCGTCAGTTTAAATTTTTAACAAACAAATTCAGTACTTGGTGGCGTAACATTTTGAACTGACGAAATCAGAAAGAAGCTTTTCATGATGAGTGTTTGTGACACCTTAAACAATTTACGTAAAATTAATGTATAGTTTTGTATGGAATATTTCACTTTACATACTCTGGCCGATCGTGATCAGTTTGATGGGAAAAAAAACATTCAGTTATTAGTAGTTGTGATTGATAACCAATACGTCTTTTAACTAGTTTTATGCGGATTGGTGTTTACCACCAACATGGGACGCCTACTATGTTGAAGAATAACTAATTTTCTCCATTGTGTGGTGTTACCCTAATAACGACTGACAGCTTATAAGAATCAAATGTTTACATTATTTACTCATTAAGTGGTGACTAATACCGTATTGTTTAGTCCGTCGCTCTGACCGACATCTATCAACTAGGAGGTTAATGACCACTTGAATGTCTAGATAATGACATCTTTGATTACGTAATATTCAATGGTGTAGGTGTGAATCCAATAGACGATATCATCAGTTTCATCTCTACTGAATATACATATTGTTAATGGGCGCCGACAGTCATGAAAATTTTCAGTAAATTTCGATTTCTTAACTTCAGAGGTAAAGTTTACTGTAGTGTTTAATCAATAAGCCTAACTGACCACATTCCAAAAGTAATCAACTGAATTCGACTAATGTCGGGAAGATGAACAAATAAAATATTACTCGCAATTGTTTCAATGATTTTCATCTTTTGTAATAACTGGAGGTGGTATGTTTTGAGATCTCTTGACTTGGTATGACTCGAGATACTTATCGATATCACACGCTATATCGTCGGTGACCGGTGACCTATGTTCACGAATTTACACACCGACTAATGTACCACAATCAAGGCCTTAACGTTTATTGGTCTTCTAGTCTCTTGTCACCAAGTAGCCAATTAGAAGATGCACATAGGAAGATAATCATTTCTTTATCGTACCCAAGTAAACTAGACTCAATATCTATACAATAATATAGTTGAAATGCCTGATAACATAGCACATCAAATAAGAAATCACGCTTTGAATGCAATCATACCATAAGTAGTAGAGGGTGGAGCAAACAGTACACAATTAATTTGCAATAATTAGGGATTAATAATACGTATAATAACAGTCGACAGGTAAATTAAAGGCCTACAATAAGGGTAATGCAGAAATGCAACCATACACTTACCTACCAGTTATACAAATAAGATGGTATAGATATTATTAATTCGTAGAACAGTTCTGAAACTTACAACTTCTTCAATATTCATCCCATTATAACGAGAGATAATTTTTGTGTGGGTTCGATATCCCGTTTACGATGTTGTAATTGTTTCATCTGCGCTTCGTAAGATAATCGTCTTTTTTTCTCCATATTTCTTTTCAATGTCAGCTTCATATCATATCGTACGTCGTGTACTAACTAATCCTGTCTGGTTAGGTGTAACATTGAGTACTGTTGTGGAACAATCGATTGTTGCTGCGTTTTTAGCATTTGCTGCAAAATACATTCAAATTTTATTTCATATACCAGCTTATTTGGCTAGTATTCATACTGGTAAGTTTCTTTTATTATTTTTCCTTGGATAAAAATTATAGCCATTTCTATTTTGTATTACTCTTTGTTGTTGAAGTTTATAACTAACTAGATTAATAGATTATGTATTGATTTTTACACTGATAACTATCAAGTTCAAATCTTAGTGTTATTACCAACACACTTAAGATCCAAAGTACATCCTGAAATTGATGAAACACAAGTTCCAGATGCATTCCTTTTGTACTTACGATCCTACTTTACAAAGATTATTGTTTTTAGTGTGTAGAATAAATGGGTCGTGGCTAGCGTTGTAATCCAGAACGTGTGTTTTTATCATATTTAGGACTAGTTTGTTAGATTTACCTGCATCTTAATGTGGATCTTTACACAGAGACTCTAATTCAATACCTTTTTATCTCAGACGCTCAACGAATTACGCATTGTTCTACTGAATGCCGACAGCCATTCACTCATGCTACGGGTACGATGTTTATATTATTATTAGAAAGAGCTTGAATTATCTTAATGTTTGATGCTGTGTTTGAGTTACGGTTTGAAAGTCAACACAGAGATATGACGAATTGATCCAACTGACGAGCCCTGACTATGACAAAACTTTTATCTTGTATTCTACAGGTGGACAAAGGTAATCTGTTCCCTACAAATTGTGGCGAAAATATCTATACCAAGGCCTTCTTCACAAGGCACAGATATGCCAACAAAGATTGATCAAAATTCAGTCCTAAATATCATGCAAACTTTTCAAAATAATTACATTTTACTGTTAATAAAACTGCAAACAGAAGAGTGATTATGAAGATGGCGAATGAAAAACAGTGTGTATAAAAAAGATACACGTTAATAAGGGTGACTGTCAATAAGGCTCATATTAATAAAGCTCAGCATTGAAAGGGGTAATAACATTTTCACCGGCGTGAAATATATTCGATTTACCCTCCTTTTCTATACCTCACGATCACCGTATTTTTCGTATTTAAGCGAATACTGTAATTTTTCGAATTCCGTAACAAATTGTTATTGTTGTTACTATAGTCATGTCAATTTCGAACAGCTAAGATATAATCTATTCCCAATTAATGCGCACCTTTCTGATGATCGCCTTTATTAGAGTGCACACCTTTCACTTGCTCTATCAAATGGATACTCTTCATATGTTGTACCCTTATCATCTTCCTTTTATACTTAAAAAACTAAGTATTTTATGTGAACTAATCATGAGAGAAAAATAAATAAAGTCAGCCAACTTAAAAGTTAAGTAAATCACTGTTAATAAAGGGCTTTCATGAAGATTGTTTTAGCCCATTGGTTTTACATCATAAAATGATCTTAGCTAAAGACCTGGAAATAATAAACAATACCACAAACTGATTTAAGCTAGACAATATAAACTAATAAATGCCAGCTCAATTATCTAGAGGTTGAGTGTTTGCACCATGAACCGAATATTTTGGTTTAAATCTCCCATGGGGTTGTTGCTACTAACTGTTGTGAAGTTTTAGACTACGACAAAACAGTTCATTGCTTTCTGGTTTTCAAAAGCTTTTTAACTAAGATCATTTCGTGATGTAATTTGTTATTATCATCTAAGTGTATTTACTATTATTAGTTATTCTTGCTCGCTTCAAAAAACATTGGTTATTAAGGGGTTATCTCGTCATCGTTTAGAAAACTCTTTTTAATAGTCGCTTCATTTTTAACCATTTAATGTGAATGAACCTAGATGCTTCCAGTATAACGACAAGTGAAAAACTGTTATTTTGTAAAGTATCTCGTATCACTGTTGGGTATTCGTTTGGCTATTAACTCGACAGTATAAATAGCATCAGGCTTTACAATCTTTTCTTTTGTAATATAGATAGAGGGATCTTGGGTAACCTAAGTAGACGAAAACCAGTACTGTTGAATACATTCCGGCTCCTGCAATACTTGGGTGGGTGTATCTTCACGGTCTCTTCAGTCAATTTAATCGAAATGCTGGAAACCCTCTCTCATTTCATCATCTTTTCTCCCTATATGAATTAAAGATACACGATGAGTCCTTCAAAGAGACTCTCAAACACAAATATTTCAATCATGTAGTACCATAGAGTGAATTGTTCTGCAATTTACTCACTCTGGTATTTCTATATTCCCATAATGCTATATACGACTTGAATTGACAAATAATGAGGGAGCTTTCTATAAGTGTGCTAAAAATTCATTGACTATAAAACCACCTAAGTCAATAATTCGTAATTTCCATACTTCCTATTATAAAACGATACGTCGTCTCAGATCAATCATAAATCGTCATCTCACCTTCGAAAACTGTGGATACTGTGTATTGAGTTTCTTTTTGAAATATTTCAGATGGCTATTTGTATGATCTACTAAATACTGGGTCTTTCCCTCTCTTAACCTGTATTTATTATTGGTGTATATAGTGAAGTTTTATTTACGGGAACTCTGTTTGTTACTTGTTTATGGCAAAGACGAAACCTTTACTAAGAACAAAATCAACTATTTGATGAAAATAAACTCTACACAGTACTTTTCAAAAATGACTATCCTTCAATTTTCATTGAAATGAATCCTAGGTCAAGACGATAGGCTAAGTATACACCAACGTATAAGCAACTTAAAGCACTTTCATTGGGGTATTTTAACAGAGGTTCTAAAATCCGACATTTGAGATCTCTCTGTAAAAGAATAATTCTGCTATACTTTTAATAGTCTACACTAGTAGACATCAGATTTGAAAAGATTTCTTCGATAATCTATTGATTTGAGCTGCTTCATTATATATATATATATATATATATATATATATAGTGTTCGGGGACCACACTCCGGCCCTTTGGCCTAGACGTCTAATCCATAAGGCTGTGGAGCAACATTAGGAGATACAGTCCCATGGCAACTAGTGAACGACAATAGGTTCATATGCCATTTGTTCCCTAAGGGTCCTTGAGCCTATGTGCATCATTGGTTTGGAATTAGGGTTTTCCAACCCCACTAAGTGGATCATCATATCCACTAAACCGATTAAAGCGATGGACATTCGTTTTTCGTCTTCTCAATTTCATAAACAACACCGCCACGAGAAGGCAGTGAATAGGACTTCCATGTCAGTGGTTGTATGCACTTGGCCATGTGAGAGCCTTTGGAGAGCAAGAGCGGACCCTCTTCACCCTGCGTTCGTACCAAGGCATTTGGGGTCAAACAAATCAGCTTTAATGCATATAGGACAGATAAGAAATGATTTATAATTCCTTTGAAAACTTTTAAATTATGATTACTACTTAACACTTTTAATAATTTACAAAATATAGCTAACTCATTGTTTCGTTCTGGTGGAGGATGTACTGATCATATCTTCACCCTCCGCCAAATGTTAGAACACCGCCATACTTATCAAAGGCCAACAATCGTAGTGTTTCTTGACATCAGGGCTGCCTTCGATTCGTTGGACAGGACTGTTCTCTGGGATTGTCTATTGAAGAAGGGTGTGGCTGAGAAGTTCATTAACATCCTAAAAGCCCTATATACAAACACCTCAGGCAGCGTGAGGGCATACAACCACCTCTCTCCATTGTTCCATTCGAGCAGTGGGGTTAGGCAGGGTTGTCCAATCTCAACATTCCTCTTCAACTTCGCCATCGATGACATTCTGGAAACAGCTCTGATGAATGTAAGTAATGGTGGTGTGGATCTGTTGCCTGGAGAAAGACTTCTCGAACTTGAGTGTACGGACGATATTGTCTTACTGTGCGATAATGCCCAAGGCATGCAATCCGCACTTAATCAGTTGGCAATCAGTGTCCGTAGGTATGGTATGTGCTTTGCACCTTCGAAGTGCAAAGTACTTCTACAAAAGTGGCAGGATTCCAATCCTGTACTCACCCTAGAGGGTGAGCAGATAGAAGTAGTCGAGAAGTTCGTGTATCTGGGCAGCTGCATAAGTGTTGGTGGGGGTGTGAGTGATGAGATCAATGCACGTATAGTGAAAGCCAGAGCGGCTTATGCCAATCTGGGCCACCTTTGGCGCCTTCGTGATGTTAGTCTGGCTGTAAAAGGTCGGATCTACAACGCGTCGGTGAGAGCAGTTTTGCTCTATGCTTGTGAAACCTGGCCTCCCCGAGTTGAGGATGTTAGATGAATCTCTGTGTTCGATCATCGTTGTCTCCGAAGGATTGCTGGCATCCAGTGGCAACACCATGTTAGTAATGCAGAGGTTCGGCATCGTGTGTTCGGGCACAGAGATGATAATACAATTGGTGTCACCATCTTGAAACACCGACTTCGGTGGCTTGGACATGTTCTACGAATGTCGTCCCAGAGAATTCCACGTCGTGCATTATTTGCGGACGCTGGGACTGGTTGGAGAAAACGGAGATGTTGTCAGTGTATGACATGGTGTCGTGGCATGAAAGGAGGCTGCAAAGGACTGGCTTGTGTTGGTCCTTCTCGACTCCCTGGTGGGGGTCCGAGAGATGTTGCAACACAGTGGCTAGAGACGTTATCGGATATGGCTCAGAATAGAAGCAATCCTGTTGTAACCTTCTTTTACTTTCTTCGTAAAAAGTGGTTGTATCTTACTTAACTGAAAGATTTCTTCTGATTGTACCTTTCCGTTCCCCCATTATTACTATTATTATCACAATACCCCACACCAGTCTCTTCCTTATTGTTCTCTTTTTTTTTTACACTCCTTACCTTTTTTTACCTTCTCTTTGAATTCTCATTGTTTTGTGTGGCGCATACATATTTAGCGCTCTCTTTTACCCATATTTATGTGTCCAAATAAATAAATAACTCATTGTTCAGTTGTTATACCATTACTTTTAATAATTCTATTCCATTTGGAGAGATATTTTAATAGATAGATACACAGATAGATATACAAACATATAACTTACTTGGAAACTCCTTATCTCAACATTTCTATTGATAAAATGCTTCTGACGTAACCCGTTTGTCTAGTATATATGTGCATTTGTGTGTTCGTGTGTATCATA